ACGACTTAGTTACAGCATATAACCTTACGGGTCATGTTGCACATCTTCCCCGCAATATTTGCATTGCTTGTCGTAGCAGGGTTTTTTTCTTGTCGCAAACTTCCTCGATGGTCTTCACATAGTACCCGCATGTGAATCACCATGACGCTGACGCAGCTAGGTGGGCGAGAACAGGGTGACGGCGGCTAGGCAGCTACGCGGAGAGATTATGGAGTAGTGTGTCGATGTGTGCTTGGTCTCCACTCCCCCTCTACTTGAGCTACCGTGAGGTTAGCAGGCCTGCCTAAGACTTGCTTGTTGCTTTGATAGATATGTGGAGTTTAACGTCCCAAAACACCCATATGATTATGAGTGACGCTGTAGTGGAGGGCTCCAGAATGTTAGGACACCTGGGTTTCTTGAATGTGCACACAAATCTTAGAAAACGGACCTACAGCATTTCCGCCTACATTGAAAATGCAGCCGCTGCAGCCGGGATTCAATCTGGCGACCTGCAGGTCAGCAGCTGAGTACGTTAGCCACTAGACCACCACGATGGGGCGGCTGGGTGCCCTGATACCGCTCTTAGTACGGAAGGCGTTGCAAAAAAGGTCGTATTGTGCTTCATAACCACCACGGAACTACGCGACCAGTTTAGGGGACGAAGTACGTCCATGTGTTAGAAAATAATTTAGTTCCGGAAACGTTATTCGTGCAGACCCGAGTAATCTAAACGTTGGCGAGGTGTTTCGGTCACATGATTGAACCAAACATGTAAAAAGCGTCTTCTTAAGAATTTTTGGGGCTTATGTGCTGACTATATAGGACAAAACAGCGCTTGCGTGCCCCACGGACGTAACGCTTTCCAGATTGATTGATTGATATGTAGGGTTTAACGTCCCAAAACAACCATACGTGCATGGGAGACGCCGTAGTGTAGAACTCCGGAAATTTAGACCACCTAGGGTTCTTTAACCTTTGCCTAAATCTGAGCACACGGGTTTACAACATTTCCGCCTCGTCAGTAATGCAGCTGCCGCAGCCGGGATTGGATCCCGTGACCTGTGGGTCAGCAGCCGAGTACCTTAGCTACTAGACCACCGCGGCGGGGTACGCTTTCCAGAGAAGAAGCTGTAAGAGGATACTCCAAAGAGCTGCAGACGAAGTTGCGGCTGACAACAGGGTCAGCAGTTTTGTCAGCCGAATGAAACATGACGACTGTGTTACACGGACGTCTGTTAAAATAACCCGCAACATCTGCGTTCAAACTCTGAGTGGCCCTGTCTGAACCGAAAGCGGAGTTCATTTACTGAAATATAGAAAAGAAGGTTTAGGCAAGTGCCATAAAATCAGCTGTTGCGCATTCTGCATAGAGTTGAATTGCACATAAAAGTGTGCACCGTATAGATTCTTTTTACGAATTTGTTTCAGTGCCGCTATGTTGGGCTGTTAACCATATTTTGTACACTTTTAAGAGCTAAACGCACAGTGTTGAGGTAGACGCATGCGAATGAAAACGGTTGGACTGGCACATGCGACGTTTGATGGTCGTATAAATTTGCGTCGCCCTAAACAAAAAAAACACAACAAAATATGGCTTTAAAAGCCTAAAATGGCAGCGCCCACACCTTTTACAAATATAGTCTTTGCAGTGTTGCCGGCGCCAATGTCTTTTTATATATTGTGAAAGGCATTTATCGGTCTACCGAACTTTGTCTGCAAGTGTTTATGCGGAACATATTTTGTCAACACTACAGCAGCAGTATATCATATTATAATTGCCAGATGCGTTTTTTAAGGTGTGAAAGGAGCAAGATGTTCCATGCTGATGGTCGTTCATCCTTTCGAGTGGAAAGAGGAAATAAACCACTGAAATAAGTTTTTTTTCTACCGTCTTGTTTCACATTCACTCGATTCACCAACTTTTTTGTCAATATAATAGCAGTCTCAACATTGGCTTTATATGCTACGCATGCAGACTACACGCACTCGACAGTCTAGATTGTATACTGAATAAGTACTGTATGCCAATTTATCTGTTCATGCAACACGTCCTGTGCTGAAGATAGTTTAGCAAGATTAAAAATGCAACCCACTCTATGCGGAGATTACCGAATTTCTTATGTCTGGCATAAGTTTGACAGAATTCACGTATATAAGTACACTGTGTGGATTGACACAAACCAGTGTTCAAAAACACATAAAAGTGCAAAAGGCAACATTTTAAGCACTAAACTAGTTAGCCTAATCGCCCATCAATCATGTGTTAGTAGGCTAGTGTTAATGATAGGGTGATGCATATTTCAAGCACCTATTCACTACTCTATGGGGAAATACAGAAATGTGGACCAGGGCTCGAGCAAAACCGAAACTGTGTCACGTGGTGGCCGGCCCGCATACAACTTCTGGTAATAAACGGTCATGACGAACATTCTCGCGCTGAGTGCTTTATTCAACACTGATCACTAAGCAATATGTAGCGAATACGCAGAAAAAGTGTGGCTAAATGTGGTTAAATTTTTTGGCGGGAAAAGCAGCTGCGTGAACTATCAGCGTCTTTTTCAAGAGTTGCATATTGCTGCTCTTGAAATACCGTGAGCCGCTTTTGTGTCCATATAATTTTTCGTAAAGTTTGTCGTGACCAAAAGAGAAGTATCAATGGACTCGAGTTCTAGGTTTCTTGGAGCTAAGACTGCAAAATAACTTTTTCGACATACTGCCATTTATCACGAAACCTGAGCACACGTTATTAATATTGAAGCTTACGCTGATATACCTTCTCAGTGAAGTAAAATATATGCAAAGTGAGGTAGTGCGACTTGTTACAGGTAGCAACACACAACCTCAAGTAAAGATACTGGCGAAACGAAGTTGATGAGGGTGACCGAAAGAAAATTGCTTTCATGACTCCTGACGGGCTCTACAAATTTAAAGTGCCTCCATTTGGTCTCTGTTCTGCTCTCGCCCCAATTCAACGCAGGATGCACAATGCATGCACTCTCTAGAATGAAGTGACAGACGTGTCTTCTATGCTTGGATGATGTAGTTGTGTTTTCAAGCAGGCTTGACGAACATCTTTCAAGGCCAAAAGCGTACTCACCGTGATAGGGAAAGCGAACCGTACTATCAAACTCGAAAAGTGCTAACTTGGCTATCACGTACTCAAGTTTTTCGGTCTCTTGGCGAGCCCGGAGAGAGTTTAACTAGATCCGAAAAAGTTGGACGATATTAGTCGTGTGACAATATTAGTTTTTCAATGAAAAAAAAATGTTGACAGGCGAGAAAATGCAGCTTCCCAGAAAAAAAAGAAAAGGTGAGCCTGCCTCCATTTTTTTTTTTGTACGCTTTCCATTGTGATACCCAAAGTTTTGATACCGTGGACAGGTTTTCTTCATTACTGTCTTATTTCGTATAAGGTCCAAATTGATAAAATTACTCTGCGCATTTTACGGCTCACATACAAGAAATCAGCACCGGTGAATAAGAGCTCGCGAGTGCTAGAGGAACACGGCTGAAGCAGACATGAATATGCAAGATGGGTCCATCTGACGCAGCGCTCATTTCATAACACATTGGCTAGTGTGAACCGTGCTTTTAATTGCTCTTCAACTAGAAAGAGAAATCTCCGTCCATCTTCTGATGGGCTACCGTGCATGAATAGATAGGGAGGGTGGGGGGGTGCGTGGTCGAAGCAGCAAATGACTAACTTGGCTATAAGGGTGGTGTCGGGTGCTCTCATGTGTGCTCCTAATTCCTGCGGACGCTTTTAATGCTCTTCCATGCACCATTATCCGATCGCGTAGTACTGTGGCCACTGATACCAATAAGTGCACAAAAACTAATTATTTCTAGAAAGTGGCCACATTTCCACGCCACAGCGCCTCGTAGAGTTACGTGAGATAGGATTGTAAAAAGGCAGTCTTAGTTTTTAGAAGATTACGTCATGTTGCTACCGCATCTACTGCTACGCTTTTTCAGTGAAAGATACGCTTTTCAAAATGAAAGCGGCAATGAATTTCTCCTAAACTGCCCAATCAACCTCCCCCCCCCCCTCCCCAGCCTTTTATCTCGCTGAGCGCCGCCGTCCATCGTATAAACACCAAGCAGTCCATGTGTGACCGCCAGAGGTGGAGACATCGGCGCGTTGCTGCCGGCTAGTTTACCGAAACACAGGTCTAGCTAAGAGACGACTGATGACTAGAGCACTGGTAGCTATTACCCTCGACCACTTAACCAGCACACTATAACATAACCCTACTTGATCACATTTGCCCGGAAAAAAAAAACAGTCCCATACTACTTTTTGGGCCGAACCTGTTTTCTCTTTTTTTTTCTCGTGTAAATGAATATTTCACGAATCCGTCTCGATTCCAACGTTGAATTATAGTTTGCATGCTCGAAGCAATGGTGCTTTCCATAACGCCACCGAGCCATTCTGGAATGAATTCATGTTCTTTTCAGTTGCGTTCATTTCGTGTGTTCAGTTCCGTATTTGTACGACCACCAATAACTGTTTGGTTGCCCCAATGTAAGAATGCCTTTACGCTCTGTATTCGCCCTAAATAAATACAAACACAAACAAAAAATATATGCTAATATATCCCACCAGAATAAAATCAAAGATGCTTGTATTGATACGGTCCAAAAGATAGCAGTAAGCCTGAAGCAGTGACATTGCTTTTTTCACTTATAAAACTGGGCTCAGCAAATTTGTTTTGCCTGGCTATCTCCTTCATTTTAATAATATGACGCCCGAAGATGTGAGTTGGTGGGTGGAATATTAGATTTTGTATACTATAGCAACCAGTTTTCTGTAATCACGTAAGGTGAGGTGTACATGCACAGAGCAAATCGTTGACGTGTTGTAGTGAAACGTTCAACACACGTGTTTCAAGTCGCTTTGTGTATATTGATACATATTATTGTACTCTACCCTTTAAGTGAGCGACCAAACTGTACAGCTAGGGTAATTAGAAAAAAATGCAGAAGAAGGCTGTAGTTGAAATGGTGGTTTTACTTACTTCTTGATTGAATTCTCACGGAGTCGTATGGGGTGCTTAGGTTCTGATAAAAATGGCGAAATGTTCCATTATATTCTCTTTTGTAAAACCTAAAGAATATTGAAACGACAAATAAGTATGAGCAGAAAGACCCGCGCAGCGTGATGTTTAAGAGTTACACACCATGAGCGTCTTACATATGCTCTGTAAAACGTAATGTTGTTTTCACTAATGTCCACTTTTAGGTCGGCCTTGCATAAGATTGCCTCTGAGGATGTGGTAACAGCAGTCCATATAAGTTCGCTTGTGTTCCAAAACTGTAAAACAAATTGGATACATGCAGTTTACACAAACAATGGTAGTATAGGGGAAGAGGTTTGATGACCTTTGCAGCCACGTATTAGGCACTTTTCAATGAAATAAGATATGTGTAAGTCAATTTTACTAATGCTCATGTTCATTATATTGGTGTTAATGCAACAAGCAGCCTCGGTGCGAGTTTAAAGTACCTCAATTGTTGAAGAAAGCACGAAGAATTCACAGGATACTATAAGCGGCAAATCACACTTGAGCAGCCAGATGCTTATATAGTAGCATCAAGGCAAAAATGAATCATACACTATTGCCTTTTTAAATAAGACAATAGTAATTAGGGCGTAATAATTTATGTAAGGCTTCTCTGACACGGCGATGCCACGCAAGGCTTGGTGTGGAAGGGAGTCTGAACTCCCCCGTACCCTCGGGTACTTGGTGTCGCCACACACCAAACGTCTGCGCACGCAGACGTCCCTAGGGGGGGGGGGGCGCACATCGCTTTCTTAGATAACTTGAATACCAAACAAGACTAAAGTTTAGAGGCACCGAGAGGTTTGGAGCGATCAGAAATTTCTTTAGAGAAGGTCACTCGAAACACTGTGTCGGCAAGTTAATTGTCGAGCAATGGGGCAATAGAGTTGCCTAGACTAAAAATTTTCCCTTTGTTATTACGTTGGGTGCAGTGACATGTTCTGTGATAATTTCTAGAAGCAATTAATATATCATACATAATTGAGTGACAGTATGAGAGGAGTCGCAAAGTTTGCACTTGCATGTTTATCATGAACAAAAAAAGAGTCTGCGATTACTTGACATGATAGGAACTACAAGCCAAATGAAAAAGGAGAAAACAATATGTATTCGAGCAAACACCAGTTCAAGTCTTTCAATAAACCGATTTTCCAGACAGCAGCTTAGTTGGCGTCTTGACCAATTAGTATATGGACCTGCACTTCCGTCAGTCCGGTGAGGCTTGCAGACAATTGGGTTTACTCATGCACTCATGCAAACGAATACCTGCTCAGGTAATCGGTACATATAATTGTGCCCTCCCAGTCCCACTAGGAAACCTGAGAAACTTTCGCGAAACTGGAAATCCCTAGTTAACTGGCCCCGCCGCGGTGGTTTAGTGGCTAAGGTACTCACCTACTGACCCGCAGGTCGCGAGATCGAATCCTGGCTGCGGCGGCTGCATTTCCAAAGAAGGCGGAAACGTTTGGGTGCACGTTAAAGAACCCCAGGTAGTCGAAATTTCCGGAGCTCTCCACTACGGCGTCTCTCATAATCATATGGTGCTTTTGGAACGTTAAACCCCACAAATTAATCAACTCGGTAAACTTACCGGAGAGCCTCTAAAAGCACGTGTTGCCCGATTTGGCTATCTTTCTCTAATGCATAGTTGACTTGCTAGGCGTATAGTTTATTGCAGCTTCCGTTATTGCCTGCCACAACTTGCTGGTTTTATTTTTCCCGCACTTGCCACGCCAATAGAGCGAGATAACTGAGCGCGATCCAGATATCACTGAGCGAGTGGCGAGAAGGAGTGGAGGCAAATGCCACGAACTTGTCAACCACCTCACGCGCTGCGCCTGATTTAAAATTCAGAAAATAGAAATAAAAACGAAATATTCAGAAAAGCAATGTTCTTAGTACCGGCATAAAATTTCTTTATTTATAAAAACTTGGGAAAGCAACCAAATTCGAACATCGACGTTACACTTGTTCGTTAAAAGAGAGCTTGATACCCTGCGAACTATTAGGATCGTGCATGTTCCTTGAAACCGAAAGAAGCACGGAGTTTCTGGAGCCTGGTCTTGACACCAGTGAATTATTGGGTTACGTCGACCCTTTTGTGCAATATGTTGAGAACTTCTCAGGCACACGACTTTGCTCAGGCCTCTCAGTGCGGTGGTAATGGCATGAATACGGTGCGAAGCGCACGACACCAGCGATAAAAAAAAAAAACAGCCACAAGAATGCGCATGGCGTAGCCGACGCATATGCGGCATTTGGGGTGATTTTACGAGCGCGTGAGCTATGCCACTGAGTCGAAATTTAAACAGTGCAAGAACTGCTTGGTCAATGCCATGCTATTATAGTTTTGCCAAAAGAAATATCGTGCTAATGTAGGCGTGTTTGTGGGCGTTTGTTACCTTCGAGGAAATAGTTGTAGTCTACCTGCACTATGGAAATGTTCATTCCCGCAGGGAAAAAGAGAACATAGGCAGTACTCTCATGCTGCTCGTTTGGTTTGTGTGAAATATTACAGATAAGTCATCTTTTGTCAAAAATCTATGGAACTAATTTCTTGGCACAGCTGGTGCAGGCTGCTGCTGCACGGGATCTATTCGGTGTGCTTGAACAATTCACGGGTTAATGCACATTGTCGTTCGTCACAAAAAGGGCGAGACAAGTCCAACGTTCGTATCTTTCTTGTTGCCCACCCTGTCAGCCATGGTTGAAATTTTAAGGTTGGTACAGACGTGGAAATGTAAAATATTGGTGTGAAAAACGACGCCTGTACAAGATATTGTGTAAGATGTCGTGCAAGGTAGAAACAAGTCTGCTACACGCCAACGGCTTTGCGTCCCTAACAGAATAACCTGAGCGTCTCCAGAAAGCACTTGGTTCTTCCAAATAAAGAAAACGACTATGCCAAGCTGGCATGCAGCGAAAGTAAGGGAGCGGTTTCTTTAAACTTGCATTGAATTTTCAGTCACACAGCTGCTGCTCGGTCATGTCTTTTCAGGGCCAAAGCTCACGAACGTCGAGACTTCTGCCTTGCCGGTGTTGTGCACCATAACCACCGCTGACGATAATGTATACGCTGGTGACAATGAAGAACAAGCGCGCTCCAGACCTGCTATTTGTTTTGCCATTATGGCTCAACGCATGCAAGATACGCACGATACATGAGATGACGATAACACTGATTACGATGAACATGCCCAAGACAACGACCACGAACAACGACTGAATTGTGCAGTATAGGACGCCTTCATATGCTCTACAATGCCACTTGTATGACCAACCACCATCAGCGGAACGTGTGCCGGCCTTACTTTTGCCAACTTCAGGCAAGATACGATGCCTCAAAGCACTAATAATGAAGGAAAAACGAAATTGACAACTCAAAACAGCAAACTATTTGTGCCCAATAAACATTATATAAAACTGTAGACCGCTTATTACTCATTTTTAAGCGTGAGTGGTGAATGTATGAACGAACTTGTGGTAACAACGAATAATCCCACTGATTCTTTCACTCATGATCATTGATTTCGGGGGCATGCCATGCTAATTTATACAATACATTATGGTTTTATTGACATCGAATGACACAGCTTCCAAGCGTAGAAACTGTATGATTTTATTGAAAAAACCGTGTAGTGAAACAACTGCCAACATACGAAGAATCAAATGAACACATACTTGGTGCTTCTGTAGACATTCTTTTTCACGCGCCTAGTAACGACAGTAAAATTAAACCAATATCAAATTTAGGCACCTAGTGGGAAGAAAACGTATTGGAATTTCTGAATATGCCTGCACATTCTGATGTGAAGTCCAAAATTCAGCAGAAAAGGCAATATTGAAACTAAAGCAACAATTTACCGAGAGCTGCTATATTTTGTATATGTTTGTATATTTTTAAACCCCCTACAAATCGCGATATCCACATAAAGCCGAAAGAATGAAACTTCAACAAGTTTATGTACCATAATTTCTATGCTCGCTCAAGCCGAATGTGTTTCGGCGCTATAGGCACTAGCTCTAAGGTTTCCTCTAGACTAATACTATTAACTTGATGACTGTAGTCTTACTGCGTGAGTAATTCTCATTTGAGACTGTCTGAGTTATCACCTCCTATATGTGCGTACGGCGCATTTCCATAAAAACACTTGTCACCATGAGATGGGACCTTTTCGTAGTTCAGCTTTGCATCATACGATGAGCGAGAAAAATAAGATGTGATGATAGAAAAATTGCCCATGGCAGTTCAGACAGGGAAAACTGAAACACACACTAACGTCGCTGATACATATTTAAGGAGCCTTAAAACACAAACGTAGGACCCAGAAAACACAAGAGCCGAAAAGTAAGGACAAGTAAAACAAAAAAAAATATTTACAAGCACAGAATTTTAATGCGCCGCCTACGGTTGATAAAAAAAAATTTCGCCTGGTCGGTTATCCATGCCCGAGCAGCAATGAAAGTTTGGAAGCACCTTAGTGTCAAGTTTTCCTCCTGCCTCTATAACCTACACTTTGCAAGAAGTCACTTTTGGTGATACCTTTGCGAGATCGTCTCCACATGTGTCAGCATCCCCAAACGATGAATAGTACTGTTGGCCTAGCACCCGATAACCATGGCTTGTAGTAAATGGTCTAACGCTTCGCAAAAGTGAAACTACCCTCGAAAGCGATAGTCAAGGCGAAGAACCCCAGCTCTATGAACTCTTATACTTCGCCACTGGTGCCACATTGGTGCAACCAGCTACGATAAAGTTCACAAATGGAACCACTGCGCTGAGAACGGCGTCATTTCAGAAATGTCGCCAGCATATGTGATTATTTGACCAACGGTTGTGCGCGTTAAAAAACTGAGCACAAAAATCAAGACCAGCGCAACAAGTCAGAGTGTGAACTGCGCACCCTACAGCTGCTCCAACAAAAGTTATGTTTACGTGGACATGCGAAGGCGCGGGTGGAAGCAACGCCAATCTCAATGGCCCTACTTTCGTAAGCATTTAGGCCTTAAACGGTATCTTCGCAATACCGATCTCCAAGGCTATGTTTTTTCTCGCAGCCTTCAAAAGTACAAGTCACTTTCGGCTCTGACACGGCTAACATTGCCGTCAAACGGGCATAAGCTGAGTGAAAAGTTCAGGTAAACCCTCTCTTGCGTGTTTAGTCGGCTTACTCTGAGTGCCCTTTGTGACGTGTCTGAGGAAATTGTTGCTCACTTTGAAGGCCCCGCCTAGGCTCAGAAAGCTCACTCA